TGTGTAATTGCAGGATGTGTTAGATTGAACTGTGGATAGCATCATATACAACTTACACTCAAGGTGGGCAGATGGGCCCACTGCCACTTTCGTTCTGGAGCTCACTCTGGCAACAGCACGTGGAGCTGCCAGTAAAGTGTAACCTCACTTTCTCAGGCTCATTATCTTGTTAAGAAGACCAATTTCCTGATCGCTTCTAGGCTTGGATTTTGCTTCATGTTTTCTATCAGGAAACTAACATAGCTCAGCAGAGACATCTTTGGGGCTCATCTTTCTATCACAGCTGTTGGAAGGAGGACGGTTTCTTTCTCTAAGCCTTGAATTTGATGCCAGAAGATCTGAATTTTGGCTATGGCTTTGCATAATGATTTCCCCCAATGGGACCCTATTTTTTTCCTCTGTAAAAGAAATTTGGATTAGAATGATTGGTTTAAAATATGTGTTCCAGAAGACTAAGGAATTCTCTAGAAGATACGAAGGACTCTATGGAGAAGAAAGTGGAAGCTAGTAAGCTCTCTTCTTAATTTCTTTGGGCAAAGCTATTCCTGTTTTATCTGCTTTACATATTGCATAGTGTCTGCACTCTCTCGCTCGCTCTCTCTCTCTCTCTCCCCCTCCTTCTCCCTCTCCCTCTCCCTTTTTCTTTCCCTGCCTCCCTTCCTCTTTTCCTTCCTCCCTTCCTTCCTTCTTCATTCCTTCCCTCCCTCCCTCCCTTTATTAAATATTATAAGCTTTATAGCTAAATAAAATTTGAAAAATACTAGACTGGGAAAACCTTTGCAGTTCTAATATTCTGTGGTTCTGATTGCCATTCTGTTAGTATTGAGCAATATTAATACTTAGAATATATCCGATAGTAGAGAACCCTGATAAGTCATCAGAGCAGAAAGCTTTTATGCCTTCCTTCAGACCCTGCTTGCTACTGAGTTCCTCCAGAAAAAAGGATATCCATGACTAGACACTTACATTATTTACTTTCTATTGTTCTTCTAGGTACTTTTTGTGTCCCTATATATTACTGTTTCCTCTCCATTTTTTAAAAATAAATAACCAGCTTCACCAATAATAATGTAGAGGAACTAGGTCTTTTAAAAAATGACTTTATTGGTCACCTCATAAATCTTGGAAGAGCAAAGGGTAAGACAAGACCACTAGATAAAAGAGTAATAAGTACCTCTGTTTCTGCCTCTTTCTTATGTGGGCTTGTTTTAGGGTCTCCCAAAACATGATACCTCTTTTGTTTAGTCCAAATCATAATTTGATTATTTTACTCTTAATGAGTTGGAAATGTCAGGACATCAAAATGTAGTGTCAAGAAATACTTCTATATTATATACATGGTTTCTGCCTTCTTTCTAAAGTCAAATGGCTTTGATCATCCATGTGGTTCAGGATTCCAGAATAAGTTCAATTTACTTGATCTTTGAAAGCAGATGACAGAGGGGACGGCTGCCAAACCAGGTGTCCACCTTAAGGTATCCTTTTTTTTTTCTTTTTTTGAGATGGAGTCTCCTTCTGTCCCCCAGGCTGGGGCTGGAGTGTAGTGATATGAGATCTGCTCACTGCAACCCTCACTTCGTGGGCTTAAGAGATTCTCCTAGCTTAGCTTCCTGAGTAGTTGGGATTGCAGGTGCCCACCACCACGCCTGGCTAATTTTTGCATTTTTAGTAGAGACGGGGTTTCACCATGATGGTCAGGCTGGTCTTGAATTCCTGGCCTCAAGTGATCCGCCCTCCTTGGCCTCCCCAAGTGCTGGGATTACAAGCATGAGCTGCCGCACCCAGCCATCTTAAAGTATTCTGACCCCTTTTATTGTCTTTCTCAGTGCAGAAGTTGCAGGACAATTTTATTATTTAAATATAAATCTCTTACATAATTTGGAGCAAATTTTATAGGGATATCCGATCACAACTTGCCTTTGAAAAATCTCATTTGGACACTGAGAGACTTTCCGTGTATATTCTTTAGTAAAATATCAAGAAAACAAATAAATATCATTTCTGGACAAAGATGGGCTTTTCACCGGAAATTTGAAAACATAATATAATATGTTCTTTCCTTTGTGGTAAATATACAACTTCTCTTTCGTGAAATCGCACACAGCTCCTTCCAGTACTCTCCTTAAGAACAACAGACAACTGGCCGGACTCAGTGGCTCACACCTGTAATCCCAGCACTTTGAGAGGCTGAGGCGGGCAGATCACGAGCTCAAGAGATCGAGACCATTCTGGCTAAGATGGTGAAACCCCCTCTCTACTAAAAATACAAAAAATTAGCTGGGCTTGGTGACACGTGCCTGTAGTCCCAACTACTCGGGAGGCTGAGGCACGAGAATCACTTGAACCCAGGAGGCAGAGGTTGCGGTGAGCCAAGGTCTCACTGCTGCACTCCAGCCTGGGCGACAGAGTGAGACTCTGTCTCAAAAAAAAAAAAAAAAAAAAAAAAAAGAACAACAGACAATTGTCCAAGTCTGTTAAGCGTGTCCGATTCTCATGAGGACAAAGAACTGTTACCTGGTGGTATCAGTTGGTCTTCAAGGCTTCCCCCTTCCATTGAGATAGGAGGTGCCATTAGGGAGAGCACTGGGGGTTAATTAAAATCTTTGGAAACTATGTGATTCAGGCTGAAACGGAGATCTTACCTAATTTTCACAGACTGTCATACCAACACAATATCATAATTCTTCTGACTAGTTTTTGTCTTTAACTCACCCCAAGGTCCCCAAAGAACCATAGCAACCAAAACTTTTGTCAGGGATCTTAGTAGCCAAGATGATGGGTGTCTTAGTCTGTTTGGGCTGCTATAACAAATTCCCTAACTGTGTAGCTAACAAACCACAGAAATTTATTCCTCACAGTTCCAGAGGCTGAGAAGTCCAAGATCAAGGTACTAGCAGATTCAGTGCTGGGTGAAGACCTGTTTCCTGATTCAAAGATGGCACCTTCTCACTGTAACCTCACATAAGAGAAAGGGGAAAACAGCTGGGCGTCATGGCTCATACCTGTAATCCCAGCACTTTGGGAGGCCGAGGTGGGTGGATCATGAGGTCAAGAGATCGAGACCATCCTGGTCAACATGGTGAAACCCTGTCTCTACTGAAAATTCAAAAAATTGGCTGGGCATGGCGGCGCGCATCTGTAGTCCCAGCTACTCAGGAGGCTGAGGCAGGAGAATTGCCTGAACCGGGGAGGCAGAGGTTGCGATGAGCCGAGATCATGCCATTGCACTCCAGCCTGGGTAACAAGAGCGAAACTCCATCTCAAAAAAGAAAAAAAGAGAAAGGGGAAAACAGCTCTTTTACAAGGGTACTAATCGCATTCATGAGGGCACACTCCTCATGACTTCATCACCTCCCAAAGGCCCTGCCTTCTGATACCATCATCTTGAGGGTCTGGATTTCAACATAGGAATTTGCAGGATGATGGGGGATACAAACATTCAGACCACAGCAATGCAGAATCTGTCAATCATCCAGTCAAAACCTGTCTACAAGGTTCTTTAGGATCTGACTTAGAGTCTCTAATAAGTTCTTACGCCAGTAGAGTCTTTCAGTTAAAAAGTAAAGTGATCACATGGCAAAGTGTTGAAGACTAGATTGAACAGAATTTATTAAACAGTTAAAATATATTCAACAAACTGGAAACAAAATATTATAAGTACAGTTTGCCTGTGTCATAGTTACCAAAGATGGCTCTGTGGTAGAGTGGAAATGCTTGGGCTTTGGAGATGTACGGGTTTTAGTCAGAATCTTGCATTTGCCAGTTACTACCGATGTGGGTTTGGGAAAATTTCTAAACCTTTCTGAATGTTGTTCTTTTCATTTGTGTATTGGTGAAAAATAATATTTATGTGCAAAGTTACTGTGAGAATAAAGCATGCACATGCAATTCTCATTCTGGCCATAGGATGTGCTCAATAACAATTACTAGACAGATGGGCGAGGTGGCTCATACCTGTAATCCCAGCACTTTGGAAGGCTGAGGTGGGCGGATGACCTGAGGTTGGGAGTTTGAGACCAGCCTGACTAACATGGAGACGCCCCATCTCTACTAAAAATACAAAATTAGCCAGGTATGGTGGTACATGCCTGTAATCCCAGCTACTTGGGAGGCTGAGGCAGGAGAATTGCCTGAATTCAGGAGGCGGAGGTTGCGGGGGGCTGAGGTTGCATCATTGCACTCTAACCTGGGCAGCAAGAGTGAAACTTCATCTCAAAAAAACAAAAAACAATTACTAGACACATAGACACAGCAATAGCAATGAACTGATTCTGATCTATACCTGCTTGTCATTCATTCATAGGAATACTTATTTCATTCATGAAACTCTTGTCAGGAATGACTGGGAAATACCTGTTTTGATTGTAGTTAAGGTCTTCCGCTCCCACATCCCCTTTTGTGGACATTCTCTGATTATCTTCTGTTGCTCCAACAGTACCCATTTTCCTCTTATCATCACTTCTGACATACTCATTGCAAAAGGGTCTTGGTTTTTCATTCTGAAACTGCTTCAAGTTCAAGTTCACCCCCTGGATTTGCATTTCCCTAGCAGTTTCTGTTCTGATTACATACTCTGCTTAGATGCAAATAGGTTTGTTCCAGCTTCATGTTAATATCCTCTGAGGTTGTGAAGTGAGATTTTTCAGAGTGTTTGAATTTTGGCAGAGAAAGAACTTCCCAGCTGAGTAATTCCTGAGAGATTTTCATCCTATGATGAGAAACCCTTTACTCCATGATTGCTTCTTATGTTTCACTCTCAAATATCTATTCCTCCACCACAGCTGTGCTTAGACATTTTAATTTCTGCCTCCTTACTGTTTTGTGGTTTAACTATTTCATGAATACCTACATCTAAGTGCCCATGAACCTTGAATTGTCCTTCTGGGAGAAAGGGTGGATTTCTCCAGCTTATTTCATTACTTTCTACTGCAGACCATATTATTTGCCTACACATTTACCCCTTTTTATCTGCTAATAAAACCCATTTTTGTTCACTGCAGAAATGCATCCAGCCCCAGATGAGAGACTCACTTTTGCAACCTCAAGATGCTGAAAAGTACAATAAGACAGGAAGACAAACGGAAGTCACCTAGGTAAAGTAGTTTATGAATACTGTTATACGAGAACTGTATGGGGAAAATGTTCTGGGCATGGATGGTATTTCAGAAAGACCCACGAGTCAGACAGCCAGGGGTAGGAGATGTAAGTGTAGAAAGAGGCCATGTTAACCTGGCTGAAGCAGGGAACCTGGATCACGGAAGAATGAAGACCACACTCGGGCTGTCAGGAGGGCTGGAAAGCCCAGCACCATCAATATCTGGGCAAACGGGTGTCTTTAGGAATTTGGGCAGTTGTTCACATTCTGAGAGTCAGCTCAATCTGAAAGTGGGGATCTGACCTCCCCAAGCATTTCATTAGGCTCCCAGACCAACAGATTACCCAACTACTTGTCCTGTTTCACATGAACCCTTTAAAACATTTAATTACTTTTTATTTTTAGCAAAGTAATACATATTCATAGCTTAAAAAATCAAATGATTCTAAAAAAGCTTAGGTCAAAAAACTAGTCCCCACATGAAAAAGAAAAAAAAGACCAACTCCCATTTCTTTCTTTTTTTTTTTCTTTTTACTTATTTTTTAATTTTTGTACTTGTATTTTTATTGCACTTTAGGTTCTGGGGTACATGTGCAGATCGTGCAGGATTGTTGCATAGGTACACACATGGCAATGTGGTTTGCTGCCTCCATCCTCCTGTCACCCACATCTGACATTTCTCCCCATGTTATCCCTCTCCGACCTCCCCACCCCCCCGACTGTCTCTCCCTTGGCGCTCCCCAACAGACCTCAGTGTGTGATGCTCCCCTCCCTGTGTCCATGTGTTCTCATTGTTCAACTCCTGCCTATGAGTGAGACCATGTGGTGTTTGATTTTCTGTTCTTGTGTCAGTTTGCTGAGAATGATGGTTTCCAGATTCATCCATGTCCCTACAAAGGACAACGAAGTCATCATTTTTTATGGCTGCATAGTATTCCATGGTGTATTTGTGCCACATTTTCCTTGTCCAGTCTATCGTTGATGGGCATTTGGGTTGGTTTCGGGTCTTCGCTATTGTAAACAGTGCCACTATGAACATACGTGTGCATGTGTCTTTATAATACAATGATTTATAATCATTCTATTGGATATTATAATGGGATTGCTGCTTCCATTTTCCCCATACAGTTTCTATTTCTAGGTCCTTGAGGTATTGCCACACTGTCTTCCACAATGGTTGAACTAATTTACACTCCCACCAACAGTGTAAAAGTGTTTCTATTTCTCCATATCCTCTCCAGTATCTGTTGTCTCCAGATTTTTAATGACTACCATTCTAACTGGTGTGAGGTGGTATCTCAATGTGGTTTTGATTTGTATTTCTCTAATAATCAGTGATGATGAGCATTTTTTCATATGTTTGTTGACCTCATGTATGTCTTCTTTTGAAAAGTGTCTGTTCATATCCTTTGCCCACTTTTGGATGGGCTTGTTTTTTTCTTGTAAATCTGTTTTAATTATTCCCCCCACTGAGCTGGACTGTCCTGGGCCCAGCTGCACTTGCTGCGAAACTCTCAATCTAGAGTGTTTCAGATTGCTTGTTTTGTGGGGGTTTTGTGTGCCCTTTCAGTTGAATGGGCAGCTCTGTCTCCCAGGCATTCCAGGCACCAGTTGAAATGGCCACCCAGGTTTGTGTGAGTTCCTGTGTACTAACCTGGCACTGGCTGAAACAACCATGCTGAAAACTCGTGGCACTTTTCAGCCCAGGAATCTCCTGGTTTATGGGCAGTGAAAATGTGTTTGGAAATGTGGTGGGCACTCTGGATTGTTCTTGCTGGGAACTGCACTCCAGAGTTGTTCCTAATTGGGCATCTTGGATCCTCCCCAACTCCCATTTCTATCCTTCCTTCCCCAAGAGTCCTGTCTACTCCAGGGGTGACGCTCATTGAATTCTTTCAACTGCTTTTCTATTATTTACGTCTGTATTTCTAAGTATTATGCAAATACATCTATTTCTTTTTCTTTTTTTGTTTTTGAGATAGAGTCTTGCTCTCTTGCTTGGGCTGGAGTGCAGTGGCATGATCTTGGCTTACTGCAACCTCTGCCTCCAGGCTGAAGTGATTCTTGTGCCTCAATCTCCCAAGCAGCTGGGAGGCATGTGCCATCATAGCTGGCTAAGGCTAATTTTTGTATTTTTAGTAGAGATAGGGTTTCACCATGTTGACTAGGCTTGTCTCAAACTCCTGGCCTCAAGTGATCCACCTGCTCCAGCTTCCCACAGTGCTGGAATTACAGGCATGAGCCACTGCACCAGCTATTTCTTGATTTATCACTTTTACATAGGATCCATTGACTTCCATAAATGTTTGATGAAGTCCTCTGTTTAAAAAACAACAACAACAACAACTTTGACCAGGTGCGGTGGCTCATACCTGTAATCCCAGCACTTTGGGAGGTCGAGGAGGGCAGACCACGAGGTCAAAAAATCGAGATCATCCTAGCCAACATGGTGAAACCCCGTTTCTACTAAAAATACAAAAATTAGCTGGGCATGGTGGTGGTGGCACTTCCTGTAGTCCCAGCTACTCGGGAGGCTGAGGCAGGAGAATTGCTTGAACCCAGGAGTGGAGGTTGCAGTGAGCCAAGATTGTATCACTGTATTCTAGCCTGGAGACACAGTTAGACTCTGTCTCAAAACAAACAAACAAACAAACAAAAAACAAAAAACTTTGAGTCCTTCAATGGTAGTTGGTCTGTTCAATGACCCATTTCTTATGAAGCTAATTTAGGTAATTAATCTTTTCACAGGAAGTCAACCATTTAATACAGTCTTCCAAAATTGTGTGCATAGTCTCGAGCAAAGTACTGTCATAGAACTACTTTAATTTCTTCTGTAAGGGTGAAGATTTTTTCTCCAATGATATTTCTTATTTTATGTATTTGTTGCTCACTTAACATCAAATCAGGTTAGCTAAATGTTTTTGGTGGTGGTGTTTTTCAAAGAACAGGTCTTAGATTTATTTATCAATTCTAAAATTTTCTCCCATTTTATAATTTATTCATTCTTGCTTTTATTTTTTATAAATAATATCTTCCTCCATTTCCATGTGACATTTTCATTATTATTTTAAAGTGTTTTGTAATTTAATTATAGTTTCTTCTTTCACCCAAGATTTGTATAAGAGGATAAGAATTTTTCCCCCTCATTAGTGTTTTCTGTGATTTTTTTCTTGCCATTTCTTTTTTTTTTCCTTTATTTTGTAGTGTATCTCTAATAGAGCATCTGTTGGTTTCCTTTTGTTTTTTCTTTTTAAGTATCACTCACCTTGAATGGGATAAAGTATTCTGACAGCAACTATATGAAAGATAAAGTGTTCTCTGTTTCAGGCAGGTTTTCCTTAGAACCTCATGTTGTATTTGAGTGGGTTCTTTCAAGGTTAAGTTTCCTTGATTAACAGATTAGCCGCTGCAAGGCTTCTTACCAAGTCTCTCCCCTCTATTTTACACAAGCATTTTCAAGTTTTCTTTTCTTTTCTGAGACAGTGTTTTGCTGTTGTTGCCCAGGCTGGAGTACAATGGTGTGATCTCAGATCATTGCAACCTCTGTCTCCCAGGTTCAAGCGATTCTCCTGCTTCAGTCTCCCGAGCAGCTGGCATTACAAGCATGCACCACTGTGCCCAGCTAATTTTTTGTATTGTTACTAGAGACGGGTTTCACCATGTTGGCCAGGCTCGAACTTCTGACCTCAAGTGATCCACCTGCCCTGGCCTCCCAAAGTGCTGGGATTACTGGTGTGAGCCACCACAGCCAGCCTGAAGTGCTAGCTTTCTAATCAGTGACTGAGGAGAGCCCATGAAAACCAGAAAGTTCTGGAGAGATCATGGAAGGAGAAAACTTTGGAAGATGACTTCATGAAGTTATTTAGGAGGTCCTGGGTTCATCGCCTAGGTGTTCATGCATATTTTTGATCCTAATCAGTATACCAAAGACTTTGAGAATTGAACTAAAGATAAGCCATTACCTGAGTCTCAGTCACAAAGCAGCACACATATGGGACAAATCCAGGTTATACTAAAGGTTTTGAAAACAGAGATGACGTAGGAACCATAGCCCACAAAGAGCAGATTGGAACCTGTGACCTGAACCCAACTGATCTGATTGCCTACAAACACAAAAATATCAACTTTCTTCACTTGATTTAAGTAAGACTCAGAGCCTAATAAAATAACATCCAAAATGTCCAGGATATAATTCAAAAGTACCTGTCGTACGAAGAACCAGGAAAATCTCAACTAACAAGGAAAAGACAAACAACAGATGTCAGTGCTGAGATGCTGAGAACATAGATGTTGGCATTATCTGACAAAGACTTTAAAGCACCTTTTACAAAATTGCCTTGACAGCAATCATGAACACCCTTGAAATGAGCAAGAAAATAAAAACCCGCTGCAAAGAAATAGAAGACTTAAAGAGGTGCCAAATAGAAATCTTAGAACTGAAAAATATAATAAATGAATTAAAAAAAACACTGGATACATTCAATAACAGAATGGAGATGACAAAAGTCAATAAACATGAAGATAGATCAATAAAAATTATATAATATGAACAACATAGAGAAAAACATAAAAGGACAAAATTCATGTCATTGGTGTCTTAGAAGGACAGAGAATAAAGTGTAGCTTTGAAAAAATGTTTGATGTGTTAATGGCTGGAAACTTCCCAAATTTGGTGAAAGATGTAAATCTACAGATTCAAGAAACTCAGTGAACCTCAAACAGGATAAACCCAAAGAAATGCACATCTAGACATACCATGATCAAACTCCTGAAAACTAAAGACAAGAAAAAAATAATTGGCTGGGTGTGGTGGCTCATGCCTGTAATCCCAGCACTTCGGGAGAACAAGGTGGGCAGATCACTTGGGGTCAGGATTTCGAGACCAGCCTGGACAACATGGTGAAACCCTGTCTCTCCTAAAAATACAAAAATTAGCCGAGTGTGGTGGCGGGTGCCTGTAATCCCAGCTACTCAGGAGGCTGAGGCATGAGAATCGCT